ACAAACATATTCTTAAAATTGCATAACAAAATAAAGGGGCAAATTCGTCAAAATTTGGCCTACAGACTAAGGGATAACATTCGTATGCACAGTAAAGTCCGCTTTACCGAAGCCTTATAACGAAGCATTTTATGGAACCAATTCATTCATACATGCCTTTGGCGCCTGTATAATAATAACGATGTAACGAAGAAATGTCAAATTAAATAAACCGTTCAGTTGAACGAAGATTTCGTAAATGTTGGCACGAAGCCGATTTATCATAACGGAGTTCGTTATAGCATAACTGTACAGAGATTTGAACAGCATACTAAATTCATGTGATAAAGACCTTAGTATTGACATTCAATGATATAGTCAGCTACTGCAAATGTGTAAACATATTATTGAAAAAGGTATTGCAGCAAAACCAGACACATTTGAAAGAAATCTCACCATAACGAAGTTCACGTGAGCTTATACAAAATTTGGTAATGTTCAACGATACCTTGATCGAACATTTTCCGGCGGCCGAATTACAAGTTATTAAAGGCAGTCATATTTGCTTTACCGGCATGTATACCCCTTCGTGAGATTTGATTTATGCCCATAGAATACAGTCACACGACGACATCTCTGTGGCTTTTAATCTAAATAGGAAAAGGTAAGAAAATGTTTGGGCATTTGATTAATGCTGTGTGGGAATTCTCGAGGAAGCAAACTCGGTGATATACTGACTGTTATTTGATGTTCGACCTAAGCTGATGACAGCAGTACGATCCCGACTAAAATCTTCGAGCTGAACGCAATTCAGAATTTTGAGTGAAGCAGGGGATAATATGACTTCTAGTCTCTTGAAACTGTAATCTTTTGTGCGCTTTGCCCGCAACACATCTCATTTAGATACGAGAGAAGAACGTACAATGGTGTTGTGAGAAGGATGAGTAACTTGACAATGAAGGCGAAGGCGTCGAACAAGTGTAGTTGACGTTTGCGTCAACTTGACGTTTACTCGTCGTAATATAAAGATAGAGGGATCGTACTATTTCATGTTTAGTAAATACGCGATTAATATCGATTCACCGGACGCCTTGGTCCATTTTCTCATGGTTCTTCTTTTTCACACACTAGAGATAAGGCAGAAATAAGTAAGATTAGCCCGAAACTTCTACCTTCACAACTCAAGCTAGTTAGTACTATCAAGATGCTCTCACACGCTCACGAACCGTTCGACTGAAAATATAAACTCCTTATCATTTTTCTATCCAACAAGACGCTGCTGTTGAAATAGCATGAAGCCTGGTAAAAAAGTTACCTACATACGTGATAGTATTGTCTATCGTGGAAATGAAGCTATCCAAGCCAAAAAAGAGGTGGAAGCCAAAAAACTGGCGAATGAAATAAAATCTTCGCTCGAAAATATCGTCCAAACTGTTTCCGATGAGGATTCTAACGATGATGTATGCGTGTTTCAGTGGATATGTGAATTGATAACTTTCATGTTGCAACCCAATTAATATTAAAAGTTATTCATCGTTTATTATCCAGATCGATGACAGCTTACCTTTGGACTCGGATGAAGAGAGCTTCAAGTGTAGTATATCCAAAGAAGAAAATGACATCCGGAAAGTTAATATTAAGGGAGATACTAGAAGAAAGGCTTGTGCTACTGTGACCGGAAAACGCAATGAAATCCAGAACTTCAATATTGCAAGGGACGACGATACGTTTGGATGTGTAAATGTGACTGGTGTATACAATGAAATCGGAAATTTTACCAAAACGAGGGATACAAGAACATCTCTGTCTGCAGAAATTACCGGTCGTCATAACGAGGTTGAAAATTTTGTAAAAAGGAGAGATACGCTGGCGTCTTTTTCTGCAAGAATGGTCGGGCGACATGACGAAATCAAGAATCATAAAAGAATGAGGGACACCAAAGCGTTTATGTGTGCAGATGTGACCTTGATGCACAATGAAATCGGAAACGTCGTAAAAGCGAGGGATACTCATTCGCTTTTTTGCGCAGAGGCAAGCGGGATGCATAACGAAGTTGGTAACCGTAAAAGGACGAGAGATACTAAGACGCGTGGATGCTTAAAACTGACCGCGATGCATAATGATATAGGGAATATTAGAAAATCAAGGGATACAGTGGTTTCTGACAGTTTTGAAACGACTTTGATGGATAATAAACTTGGCAACTACACAGAATCAAGAAATAACGAATCAACTCGATGTGCGGATTTGGCTTTCATGCGCAATAAAATTGGTAATATTGATATATCAAAGAGCAATAAGTCAGTTGGATGCGTAACTAAGACGGCAATAGAAAACAGCGCCTTTAATTTGGAAATCACTGAAAGTAGCTCTGGCACTTCGACTAATATGACTGGGACAGGTGTGAGTCTTTGCAACTTGCGCGTGAGCAAAAAACCATCATTTGGCGTTGACTTTGGTGTCAGTGGACAAGTATCTTTGTTCAATTTGGATATTGGAACCCGTTTACAACTTAATGTCGGACCTGGCCTGAGCTTGGGGTTGCCATTTGGTTCTGGAGGTGGTGGAGGTGGTGGAGGAGGAAGTTCTGGCGGAAATGGAGGAGATGGTGATGATGGTAATAGTAAGGGTGATGGTAATGGAGGAGGTGGGGAAAGTTCTGGTGGAAATGGAGGAGACGGTAATGATGGTAAGGGTGATAGTGGTGAAGAAACTGGTGAAGGCGAAGCCATTGAAAGAGATGGTGCATGCAAAGGTGGCAAAGAAAATTGTGAAGGCAATGATAGTGAAGGAAATGGTGAATGCAAAGACTGTGAAGAAAATTGTGAACGGAATGGTGGTGAAGGCAAAAGTTGTGAAAGAAATGGTGAAGACTGTGGTGAAGAAAATTGTGAAAACAATGATGGCAAAGAAAATTGTAAAGGCAATGGTAGTGAAGGAAATGGTGAATGCAAAGACTGTGAAGGAAATTGTGAATGGAATGGTGGTGAAGGCAAAGGTTCTGAAAGAAATGGTGAAGACAGTGTAAGTGGTGAAGAAAATTGTGAAGGCAATGGTAGTGAAGGAAATGGTGAATGCAGAGACTGTGAAGAAAATTGTGAATGGAATGGTGGTGAAGGCAAAGGTTGTGAAGTTGATTCTCAAGAGGATTGTGGACAAAATTGTCCTGGATGTTACACCCACGAAGACAATCTTAATAATGAAGACTGTAGCACTCAAAATAATGATGGCCCTGGAGATGAGAACAATTTTGCAGATGATGAGAACTATTATTATTATGACAGTTTAGTTGACCATGAAGGTAACTTGGAAAATACTGGTTTTGAAAGAATTGAAAATAATTGTGGTGATAAAGCTAGTAATGTGGGCCATTCTCATGAAATAGAAAGCAATTCTCTTAATGAAGATTATTTATGTTATGACACACAGAAGGAAAATTGTTTAAATAATAATAATCAACACATATTGGGTACTGGTGATGATATGCTTGCTCGTAATATAAATAGTAATGAGAGTTGCTTGCCTAATGAGAATAAAGAACTACACAGTAACAACAGTATTAACAATCAAGATACTAAGAGCACTGGCAACAGAAGTAGCTTGGATGCCAATCCGAATGAGAATCGTTCTCAACAAGATAAACAGGGCAACATGGTACTTGAGAACCATAGTAATACTGAGCATTCGTTTCCCTTCACTGCTAATGTTTCTGGTTTCAGTCCAAATTCAAAAACAAAGACATGGAAAAATCGAAAACTTGTTGGACTGGAGACTGATTCACATAAAAACACTAATACTGACCCACAATCAAATGGCGTTACAAAAAGCAAGACTGGCAAAACTGGCATTAATAAAATCGGTATTAATGAGCACAATAGTAATAGCAATACATCTGGTAATGAAAACAAAAATACGCGGATGTCAACAGAACTTGAACAAGCCCTAGCAGATGTAATTGATAAAAATCCACATTTGTATGCAGCACTCTTTACCTCGTTATCACAAAGTTCTGCATCAGATAATAATAACTCCGGCTCATCTTCCACGTCAGATTCGATGCCTTCAAGATCTTCTACAACAGATGATGATATTTCTAAACTTATTAAAGCACGTATCCATAAAACCGAAGAGTCTATTAAAAAAAACCAGACAGTCCGAGAAGAGGGTAACAAGTACAGCGGTGCAGCAACTTCTGGTGGTTTCAGGTCTCCTATTAGCAACAATCCAGAATTGCAAAAGAAACAGGAAGAAATTGAAGAAATTGAAACAGAATCTCCTAAGCCATGCAAAAATCATTCTGCTAGTGTCCGTTGCTTCCGTTGTTTAGTGGGTTCTAAAGGGAAGAAGGTGAAACGTGTCAGTGGAAATGTATTTGGTTTTGCCAATTAATTTTTTTTTGTATTTTCTTCTTTTTTACATTCTAATTCCAAGTATTATAATTAGTGTTAGTGTCACATTAAATAGTTATGTAGTATTAATAAATGTTTATATGTTCTAACGCATAAAAATAAGCTCAGTTACTGTGCAGGATCGAAATTAAGCTTGTTGCTTAGCTTAATTGATATTATGTCTGTTATTATTATTGATTATAGTTAATCGTATTAATATTAATATGGAGTGTGGATATGTTTGATCACGTGGACTGAGAAGTCCTGAAGTTTCGCGTTTTTTGATACATCCGTAGTAAAGTCGCGTTTTCACTGATACCCTGAAGTTTATCGATGCGTATTAGCTAATTATGACTATATTCTAATTAATCCGTGATGTCAGACGTATAACCATAGTTCATCTTTGATATTCCAAGACCTCTTTCTATGACTTTTTTTGCATTTGAAAGTGCGTTGTGTCTATGTCATCGTATACAGTCTCCATATAGTATATGCATTGTAGATATAAATTTGCTTTCTTTAAAGGATCGATTAGCTAGTAACAAATCGTTAGCTGTCACCGTAGGTGTGGATAATAAAGACAGCAAATATAATATCTTTCTGTCTAATTTGTTGATAAATATGTAAATGAGGCATAGCACATAATTTATTTATAATGACGCCTGATATGAGTTAGTGAGTATATAATACACGTACAACATAGTTTCGTTCGCGTCTTTTCTCTGAAGACTTTTGTTTGATTTGTTTAATTTTTGATCGCTTCGCTTGTTAAGAATGTTTTACGAAAAATTAAATTATTTACAACAATGATAATACTGTTTCGGTTCCTTTTGACCGAGCAGCCGAATGGTATATTGTAAATTATCCTCTTTTGAGAAATGCACGTTTGAAGTCCCAAAGCTGTTTATTATTATATGTTAACGCTTTAATCCGTGAGGGATTTATTAAATTACGTCGCGTTTAGGGAGCCACACATTATACAGCCATCGAGACTTCAATACCGATTCAGAGTCCACAGGACTTACCATATTCTGTTGAAAAGCTTGCAGAAAAGTGTTAGGACGCTCGGATACCTGGCTTCAGAATAGTAATTTTGGTCAGCATTTAACGGTCTTTGTCATATTATGTTAGTAGAGAATTTCAGTAAAAGTAATGTTACATATATACATTTTATGATATATTTGTTATCGTTCATTAGTTAATGAATAAATTATTATTAATATTCTCGGTTACATTTCAAATGGCGCAACACACTTTCAAATGGGAATAGTCCAGTCATAGAAAGAGGGTAGGAGATCTTCGAATTAAAATATAGTCATAATTAGCCTCAGTAAAAACGTGACTTTACTGCGGATGTATCGAAAACGGCGCAACTACCGTAAGGGCCATATGTCAGCTACTTACTAATGCGCAAGTCTGCTTGACGGTTGGCGACCTTTTAACAGGCTTTATAAAACTCACGATCCCTACCGACGTTGTATACGCTCTCTGTGAGTATTTCGGTAATTATAATTTACGAGTAAGATGAGAGCCTATCATTCGGGAAAGTTTTCTACTAAACGCGTTTCGATAATTAAATAACAATCCTGTACCGACGTACTCGCAAATCAGATGACAAGATCGAATTTGTAACCAAAGGTGATGCTCGAGCAAGTAATTATTAGCGTGACAAAAACTTAATTATGGAAAATCTATTATAATTCTATTAGAACTACCAATAAGTACAATTTATCAGAGTTAAAAATTACTCCGATTACCGTTGTTTTCAATAATTAGCTCACAACAGCGTCGCATTGAATCATTAAATTGTTTAAAACAGATTCCAGAAATAAGCCCGAAAGAATTTTCAGAAGCAAAGATTAGTAAACCACCCACCGCGGACGCAAAAAATGCGTTTTTTTGCACTGTTTTTTTTTTTAAAGTAATAATCGGCAAGTTAATTGACATTTTCCAAAAAGATGACGCTTGGTCATCCGAGACAATTTCGCTTATAAACTTAAATTCAAGGTTATTTATAGCCATAAGATACGTGGATACCATCATGGTATTGAAGAGAACGTAATGTGTCGCGGCGTACGGTTTGACCGATAAATTTCGCTATATGGCCGCTATTTTTTCGGACAACCATTACCGCTTCTATGCTTCAAAGTACCAGTTCTCAACGTTATATCATACAGCTGAGACCGACAACTTTGTTTTCTTGCTAGTACAGACGTGACTTCCAATAATGTAAGAAAGCGTGTACCTTTCGTTCGTTGACATTTTGACAGTACACTTTGAAAAAGATTGTTTATGCTTTCATTTATTAAGACGAGTAACAAAGACTTGGTGTTTATATTTTTCGATTGGAAAAATATGACGCAAATTGAGCTGGAATTGACAAAGGTTAATTTTTTCTTGTAAATAGATAAGTTTTTGTCACACATTGTATTAAAGCTGTATTGGAACTGTTTAAAAAGAAAATTGCAAGAACAAATATTTAAAAGATAAGCATCTGAAGATTCCAATATGATGAACCCGATGGATAACACTATTTAAATAACTATCCATCGTTTACTATCTAGGTGTCAAGTGTATACTGTATTGGAGGAGGTGTCGGATTCGTGCTATATAAGTATCGGAATTGTCACTCATAATGTTCATCCATAGCAGCCGGCTGCTCACTCCCGTATCACATCAGATCCAATTCATTCACCGTAAAAAAGGTTAATTCACGTATTAGTATTGGCACATCAACAATCGACATGTATCACTTTATTTAGATCGCTGATTTATCGTATTATAAAGATAATTCATCACCTGACTTAGCGCGAGGGGAGTAAACACTGCGAAGTGTGAATGTAAAATATCGAAGGTACATATACTAGACGTTTGCTAAGCACGATTACTAATTTCTACATATGACGCATATGGCTCCGCGCGAAGGAAGATCTCCCGCGCTCCGTTTACATCCCTATCTATAATCAAACTACAATTTTCACATTTATAAATCTGTTTACCACCAATATTTCACACCATGAGATGTTTTCGAAGTGTAAGCCTCATCTTGAATCACTACTTTCACACCGGTTTCTTCGGCTTGGATTTCAATCATTAAGGAAAAGTTAAATAAAACGGTACAGTTGATTGTTATTAAATGAGTGTTATACTGTATAATTAAACTATTTTGAAGCAAAGTGTCTATATCAAAACAGTTGCGTGCGATTGAAAAATAAGCAGCATAATTGAAACCATAATGATTGGCATAACAATAAGTTTGTTTTTTTTCTTGGTTCCTTAGATAACAATAAATGGAGTGATAGTGAAATATAATACAAATCTCACGTTCAGTTAGCACTTACCCCTGTGTTATGTGTCTTGTGAAAAAAGCAAAAAGTACCCACTTGTCTACCACACATTCAGTGAGGAATGATAAAACCAATCTTGGACATCATACTCTTCCACGCAATAAAGAAAGCAAACCTCCCATCTCTCAACATTCCGCAAAACAATATACATTATGCGTTATAAAGTTGGAATTTGTAAGGTTTGTATTGTGTATTTATCCAATGTCACAACAAATGCTGACAATAAGGGCTAGTTCTATGGAAGCAATAATGTCTCAATATTTTACAAACATTACTGCAAGAATTATTAAACTTCTCTTACGACAGTGGTGTTCAAAAACATGGCAAATAATTCGTATATTAATATGTGTAACTCGACTTTTTTCCTTTCTACTGCCCGTTTAAAGAGTCAATAAACATGTTTTCAACCAATACAACTTCTTCTAGTGCTGTTTCCTCTTCTCTATCCTACTCTGCTGCTCTTCAGCAACCCCCTCCTCCGTCTACTTCA